GGATCCAGATGCAGGCGTGTGGACGGCTTACAGTTGACGTCCTACCGATAATGACTCAGTGGAACAGTAAGCTGGGGACAGACAGGGCCAGGACTGCAACTAAAGTCCTTCCAGAGCCTATTGCTCAATAGCTGTGGTGGGGTTTGAAACCAGGTCCCGAGATCAGAGCTCCAGAACTTGTCAATAAACAAAAGACAGCAAAACAAACAAACCACCATTTCCTCTGAGCCAATGCTGTAATCACAGTACCAGAAATGTCAAAAGCACTGAGTGTTCATATTTATACTTGAGGGGGGTCCCCCATTATAATCTAGGGCCTCTTCCATTTATTCCTGAATAACTACTATTTGTCTCCTAGCTTCTAGATTCTCCCAGTTTTTTTTTTGCCATTCCTATAGGTTAACCTCATTCACATCCTCAACATCATTAAATTACTTCTCGTTAGATCCCAGCTCCTCAAGCTCATCAACATCGCCATCATCAGACGTCACTCTCCAAACCCCTTATTTTCCAACCCAGGCCTTCAACTCCTTCCAGGTGTCCCTGATTTATGCCAAACTCCATGGCTCCCAGGCCACCCCCATCTCTTATCGCCTGTAAGACTTACCTGAATAGAGTTCTTGCTCTATAAACCCTCCCTGTTAACCCATCTCGCAAAATCTTTCCTTGACTTTGAATTTCTGTAACAGGCTTTCTCATCATCGGTTTCCTAGAGTCTCGATGCATATCTGCTGACTGATCAGACATCTGTGATATCAAAGCATCCAAATCACACTCTGGGCACTCTGTCTTTGTCTCTCACCTCCTCAGAGAGACGGTACACGCCTCACGACCTGATCTCCTAGCCTTCGGTAGGTCTGCACAGGACACAGTAAGTACCCAGTGGACGTCTGATGAACTGAATGGAATTAAAATATATCTCCACCCCTACCGAAAACAACCATGCAATCAACCTGAAGACAGTCTCTGCACGCAAAAGAATCAGACAAGAAGGTTAGATTATGATGAAAAAGTTGATTACTGGCCATTTTTTTATGTCCTAAATTTTGATGCTTTTTTTTTGGTCTTAGCAATGATCTTAAGTATTTCAAATCAAGTCTAACAGACAAGAGTATTTTGAATAGCCCTGAGCAGAAACCAAAAAAAGTACATATTTAATTGCTATCTTTTGCCTGAACGGCCTTTCTGTTTGTTTTTCTTGAGAGTGGAGCTGAACATTTGGTTTAGTTTTTCGTGTGCTGGTCACACTGACAGTGGAGATACCCCCGCGTCAGTGTACTGCCTGCTCTGAAAACATCGCCAGCGTCAGTGCGAATCAGGTAGGGGGATGGCCAGGACTCTCATGGTGAAGTACAAACGGGGTCACCTACCCTGCCACTCCTTGCGGTGAGAAGGCCCGAAAGGCGACACCAGTAAGAAAATCCTTCTCCCCGGAGCAGTTTCTCAAACCGTAGGTAAGAGACCGCCTCACCTCCAACGCCACGCACGCATGTGGGCTGTGTGTGGGCTGTGTGTGGGCTGCGTGTGCGCATGCACGTGGAGACTTTCCCAGGGGACACTCCTCTGGGGACTCTGGGGCCGCAGGTCTGGGGCAGGGGCTTGGCGGAACTGTTCTTAACAAGCTCTCTAGGTGATGCTTATGCATAACCGGCTTGGGAGCCCCGGCGATGGCACTTCACTCTGACCTTCGAGTTGGAAGGGGACACCCAGGCGTCAGACTTAAAAACTAAAAAATGCAGCTGTTGTTTCCTGAAAAACACACAGTCGGGCCTGCCTGACAGGACACCTACTGCAAGATGCCCCCAACCTGGCCAAGCAAATGCCCAAAGGTAAGAAAACAATTCACTCCCCCGCCCCCACCTACGTGTCCAGCTTCCCCAGGCTGCGGACAGGAACATCTCTTTGCATCAGTTTCCAGGTCCCATCTAAAACAGGAAGGGACATGTACGTGTCCTCCCCTTTGAAAGTGAGAGGTCCCGGGGAAAAATGCACCCAGCGCAGATCCGGGGGACCCCGGGAGACCACGCCCTGCATCTGCTTGGATCCACAGCATGAGCCCCTCTGCCCCAGGCAGCTCAAACACAGGCCTGCTCTCTTAGGATGCCACCGAAACCTCGTCCTCCTCAGACTACCGATGGACAGTCAGAGCGCCCCGCCGCCACACTGCGCCCCGCCCCGCCCCTTCTCCACAGGCAGCCAGGCAATCAGGAAAATCAGCTTGACACGTGTGGCCTGGACTTGGCTGTCCCACAACCAGGACGGAAGGAGACACACTACAGCTGGAGACTGTCTGTAAGCACTTGGATCGCTCTGGATGGCCGCGAGCTACTCCATCCGGGCTTCAGACGAGGCCTGGGGAGGGACAGGACGTGGTGACCAATTCAGAGACGAAGCATCATTTCAAGCAGAAAGGCTGGGCTGGCTTTCAGGGTGACTGTGCCCTTGGAACCAGAGCTGGGTGGGATGGGGGTGGGGCACCTGAAGGACAGACCACTGCTTTTTTGGCCAAAGCAACCAAGAAGAGGAGGTTACAACACTCAGAATGTTAGGCCGCAGGCAAGTAAGGATTGAAGGCGGGGGAATGGGGCACCCAGAGGGAGGGCCTTGGAAGGGAAGTGGGGTAGTGGTGGGGAGCAGGAGGCAGAGAGCTAATGAGAGCCCTGGAGGGGTCAGCAAACCAGCCTTCACCCCGCAACCGGACATGTTCCTCCTGCCCCCACCCCCTTCCTGAGTGGGGGTCCCAGGCACCAGGGGCAGACATAGAAGCAAAGTAAAGCTGAGCGTCCATCTTTTGGGAAGGGGCACCAGGTGAGGAGACAGCGTGCGAAGGACCCCAAAGTCAGCAGCGGTCCAGCCGGCTTCGCTCTGTGTGCACTGCCTTTTAAATGGAGTGTAAACGTCTTTTTATGGGCTGCCGTGCTCGATTTTCAGTAACTCGAATAAAGCAAACGTCTGTTCAGTAAACAGTTCGGGAGAACGGAGTCTTAAAAGCCCGAGCAGCCCACCCCTGCGGCAGCACACCCTCAGCCAGGCCGAGGCCCGGGACAGCCTGTGACATGCGACCTAAAGGTACAGTGACCGCAGCAGCAGGGCGGTACAGTGACCCGCAGAGCCACCCGGAGCTCCCTTCAGAGAACCCGTGCTGGCCCAGGCCCATCCTGTCACCCCACCCCCAACTCGGGGTCCCGGCGCACATCTTGCGTCTCCACGCAGCTGTGACGAGGAAAGCCCGGCTCCAGAGCAGGGGGACAGAGAGCCGGCTCCAGAGCAGGGGGACAGAGAGCGGCCAAGGCTTAAGCGGCCAGTGAGTGGGGAGAAGGGGGTGAGTGAGCAGGAGGGTGAGCAGGAGGCTCCTCCCCGCCCGGCGGCCCCACCCGACCGCACGGGGAAAGGACTGCGGATCGCTGCGGAGGACGCGTGCAGGGACCCAGGAAGGAGCTGCAGCAGCTCAGGAAAGGCCTCCTAGAGGGAGGGTGGGCCAAGGTGGGCAGACAGACAGCACAGGTGGAGGGGCCTAGAAATCTGTGAGCCAGGAGCCGGTGAGGAACTCGGGGACCTTGTCTGCGGGATCAGGAATGGGTGCAGGGACTGGCCCGAAGGTAAGAGCGTCAGTGAACGGGGATGGGCCAGCTGTGCCCACCTGGCCGGCTCCAGCTTGCTTTCTGGCTTCGCTCTGTGGCCTGGAAGGAGTGTGGAGTGTCAGACAGATGCGTCCTGGGATCCGGGTTTCCTGCCCACACGTGTCATCAGCCCTGTCCTCTCCCGGAGTTTGGCTGTGCTTTTTGCTACCTTCCGCCTTCACCGGACTGGTCGACAGCTTTCCAAACAGCCCGTCACCATCTCCACAGAACAGGCGCCCTGCTTCCCGCTCTGTCCACTCCTTCCCGTGCGCCCGCCACGTGCCAGACACGGAGCGGACCACATGCCACCGTCCCAGCAACCCCAGGCTGGGGACCCATTTCCGGTGTCTGGGTGAGGAGGTGGAGGGGAATGAGGCAGCGAGCCGACCCCATTCTCACGGCAAAGTCAGCGCCCCCCCTGCCCACTCCCCGCCCGCCCGAGCACCCTTCTCGGCCCTGGCTGGGCAGTGGGATCCCCAGAAACGCCGTTGAACACAGCCCCCTAGAGATGTTGACTCGGTGTGTGGGGACTGGGACTCAGGTTACTTTACAAACCCCAGCGGATTTGACCGTGTAGCCAGGGACGGGCGCCCGCATGCTAGGGACCCTGTGTTCCGGGACCAGCACCGTGCCTGGCGCAGGCGAGATGTGCCACCTCCTTGTGGAGAGAGTGAGGAACGAAAGCTCCGCACTTCCCGACGGTCCTCCCGTCATCTTCCCACCATCCTGACCCCAGACCGGACCTTCTCACCGGGAGCAAGCCGAGGGGCCACAGGCTAGTCTGTCCCTCCTTCGAGCCCCCAAACACGGACACATAAACGCGGTGTTCGCAGAGCATCGCGTCCGTCCTCTTACCCTCCGCTGTTGCGGCGCCCAGTGCTCGCTCCCCGTTCACGGATGCGGCTGCAACCTCCCAGGCTGGTATTTAGACCCCAACAACCCTGTCCCAACAGATCCCTTCGATCACAGCTCCCACCACCCACAGACCCTCTGTTCTGGGGAGGCAGGTGTCCTCCTGGTCTCCTATGTGGGTCGTGTGCATTCTTGCCACAGTGACTTCCATGATGTACACCCCTTCTCTCCTCCACCCATGTCTGGATCCGTGAGGACCGAACTCCCTGCTCTGCCTCTGCTCCACCCCAGCCTCCACGAGTCCCTTCGGACTCTGGACACGTGTGCCGAGAACCTCACCTGGCTCCCTTCTTACGTGGCTTCTAATCCCATTTCCACGTGCACAGGCCCTAATTTCCTGCCTACAGTCCGATCCCTGGGGCGCACCCTGCACACGGAATGTTCCCTCCCCACCGTGACTGACACGGTGCGTCGTCTGTGGATGCCACGGGGCGGTCGGTGCCTCCGCCTCCGTGCGGACGGTCTTACCTGTAGTATCGGGACTGCAAGTAGGTGGAACACACAGCCTTGGACACGTGACTGGCCGAGCCAAAGTCGATGACCTTCACTCTGTACGGCTGTCGAGACGGATCCACCAGCATGATGTTTTCTGGCTTGAGGTCCGCGTGGATAAGACCCAGGCTCTTCAGTTTCATCAGGGCCGTGGCTACCTGCTGGAGGACCGGGCGGATGTACTTGAGGGGCAAGGGGCTAAACTTGTTCTGCTTCAGAAAGTCATAGAGGTTCTGCTCCAGCATCTCGAAGACCAAGCACGTGTGGTTCTTGTGCTGGAAGCACTCATAGGCCCGGACGAAGTTGTAGTCATCCGCACTCTCGGTGCTGAGGCGGGCCAGGATGCTCACCTCAATCTGACCCTGCCGGGCGTAGGACGGGTGGTTCTTCAGGATCTTGATGGCCACGATTTCGTTGGTGCCCCTTTTCCAGCACTTGACCACTTGCCCAAAAGTCCCTCGGCCCAGGAACTCTAAAACCTCATACGTGTTGGTCATGGAGCACAGCACCTCATGCTGGACTAGCTGGTAATCGCCTTCACTGTTGGAGCCACTGTTTTTGGAGGTGGCAGTCGATGTGGTGGCAGTGGCTACCGTGGCCCCGCTGGCATTGTTCTGAATCATGGGTGGATGCTCCTCGATGATCTGCACGCTGCTCGTGTTCTCTATCTCCTCGCTCTTACGCTTGAGTCCGCATTTTTGGTAGGTGTCGAGAAGGCTCACAGTGCTGCGACGCATCAGGTTATGCGGTCCACCGAGGACTTGCCCAGTGACGGAAGTGCTGCTTGCTGACGTGACCACGATGTGCCCGGTGCTCCCGGGGAAGATGATGGTCTGCTCGTAAGGTAGGCTGGGGTTCGGGACCGGCAAGGAGGTGCTGACGGTTGTGGTGGCTGGCTGAGAAGGCGGCACGTTCTTGCTCTGGCTGCACACTTTGCTGTGGGAGCCGTACCCAGTCATGTCCCAGCTGGAACTCGGCTCCACTTTCAACTTCTTCACACTACAGAAGGCACTTGATTGGAGGGTGTGAGGGGAGAAGACTTGCACATGTGAGGCCATACCTACGAGGAGGGGAGAGGGAAGAAAAGGGTTTCAGTCACTGCTGCCGGAATCGGCCAGGTCTGGCCGGTGGCTGGGGGCGCCCACAGAATATTTGCCTCCCACTGGAACAAGGTCGGGAAAGTGAGTCTGTTCCACCCAGAAGCACAGCCTGGTCCCCCTGTCTGTGGGGCCGCACAGTTCGTTGTCCCACCATCACCATGAGGTGGGTGGTGAGTTGCAGACCCAGAGACAGAGAATTGGAATGTCAGGACTTGGTTCATTTCTTTTTCTTTTAAAAAATATTGTTTGTGATAGAAACAAGTTCCTCCTCAATTCTCACTGGGCTGCAATCCCACTAAAACCGAAGACTGTATCAGGTGGCCCGGCTAACTGTCATGTGAGTGTTATGTTGTCTCACGTGGTCCGCCACTCCTCGTCACAGACCTTGACCGCCTGGTTCAGTGGCGGGGAGAAACATTTTCCCACAAAAGTCCAATCACAGAGCCACGCATGATCTGCTAGCCCCTGGATACCCATAGCTACCCCTTGGATCTTAGTCTTAAATTACTCTTCAGTGAATTCTGCAAGGTTGAGCAGATAAGCAGTTGGTCTCATGTTTTCATGTAGATCGTCTAAAACATCGTATCAGCCTTTAGGGGGATGTGAGTAGTACAATTCATGGATTTGGTGCACTAACGTTTTCTGCTAAATGCACGTATCAATCAATTAGTTCATCTGGAAGGCGTTATTTCATGCCACCATCTCCCCCACAATTCCGATACCCTCAGGAATCTGTAAGAGCATAACTCTGGAATCGTTGTGCAATTTATATTTATGGTGATACTAGGAATAAAAAAAAGAAGTTGTAGAAAATGTGTTAGGAAAAAGTAAGACAATGAGGAAGAATACGTTCTTAAAGGTGAAAGTAGAAATAAACACTGCCCACCTCAGCGACAGTTCATAAACACCTCTTACAGAGCACAAGGCAAGGGGGTTTCTCTCAAGCACCACTGGTGTTTAGCCATCCTCAAGTCTGTGTCTCTCTGACCCCCCGCATTAACATTTTCCTTTTAACCCCATCGCCCATCACCCTGGTCTACCCTCTCCCCGCGCCGGCCACCCACCTTCCACTTGGTCCAGAAGCCCAAGGTCAGTCTTGCTTTCCACCTTTATTCTCTTCAGTTCAAAACATCCCTGACTACATCCAGCCTCCAGCGCTCCTCCTGTCTCAGAAGGTACCTCCTTTCCAGCACTGAGGTGCCCCAGTCTCATGACTCATCCTTTCCATTTTCTCGTGCACCCTGTTCCCTCCACTGTCCTCTCTCCTACAGCTTCCCGTTTCTCCCTGTCAAGCCCTCAGGTGGTATTTAATAACATTTTGCCAAACGAATCAATGACTTTGTCTTCTGTCTTCACGAGTGTTTTACACACACATTCCCAACTTGGAAGGCAAGAGGAGCTAATAGCCACTTTCTCCCTTCACTTCGTTCCTTCTTCTCACCTGTAATTGATGGTTTATGTTCCCTGTTCTTCGGGCCTAATGCTTTAATCCATCCCCTCACCCCAACATACACACACCAGGAAACTGTTCTTTTTTTTTTATCCTCACCAGAGGACATTTTTCCATTTTTTGTACAGATAGAGTGGGAGGGAGAGAGAGAGAGAGAAACATCGATGTGAAGGGACACATCGAGTGGCTGCCACCCGCACGACCAACCAGGGCCGGGGACAAACTGCAACCGAGGTACATGCCCTTAGCGGGAACCGAACCCGGGTCTCTCTGGACCGCAGGTCGACACTCTAACCGCTGAGCCAAACCGGCCAGGGCAGGAAACTATTCTTAGAGGTAAATGACTTCCACCCAGCTGGTGTGGCTCAGAGGTTGAGTGTCGACTCATGCACCAAGAGGTCACCGGTTTGATCCCCGGTCAGGGCACATGCCCAAGTTGTAGGCCCGATCCCCAGTGGGGGGCATGCAGGAGGCGGCCAATCGATGTTCTCTCTCATTGATGTTTCTATCGCTCTCTCTTCCTCTTTCTAAAATCAATAAAGAAAAAATAAATAAATATGAAAAAAAGTAAATGACTTCCTGCCTAACCCAGTGACCCTTGTCAGCCCCTAGTCTTTCTCCGAGACCTCTCTGCAACATCTGATACTGCTGACCACAACTTCCTCCTTGATGCTCTTATCTGTGTCCACGTGAATGTGCAACCTCCTCCCGTCTGTACACCGTGTGCTGGGTGGTTTCTCTTCCACTTCCTCCTTTAAAATGTTGACATTTCCAACATTCTGACTCTTCTCTCTCTGGAAGATACCGTCCCTTCAAACAGGTCAGACTGTCATCTCTATGCGGGTGACTCCCATGTGTTTATCACAGGCTAGGCCTGCCCTTGTACCTTCCAGTAATATATTTCTGCCTCCTGCAACATCAAAGACTATCATCCAAAGGTCAACTCATTATCTTTTCCTAAAAATTTAGCCATCTCACCCTCCAACGTAACACCCCCATTTCTGTTCATAAAATATTCCTCTAGTCACTTGGTTCCAAAACTATGCATTTACCTTTGATGATTCTTCTTTGCCTCCAAAGACAAGAAGGCGCTAAATCTTATTTCTCGGCTTCAAATGTCTGTTGTATCCATCGCTTTATTTCTGTCCTTGCGGCCACTTCATTAAGACATCTATCACTTTCTAGTAGGACTAAAACAAACACAGACGTCTGGTCTACCTGGGCAATCTTTCTTCCTTGAATTTGCCATATTCAGCCACCAGAGTAACTTTCCTACAATGTTTCTAAGCGTGTCACTCCTCGGCCCAAAAACTTTCAATGACTTCTGAGTGTCTCGAAGATAAAGTTGAGGACTCTTTAACTCAACACCATCACATTTTCATTGCAACTACCTTGTTGGCTTTATCTCCAACTATTAACATGCCTCAACCTTCAAGTCTAATTAAGCCGTTTTACTGTTTCTAGAATATCTCTTAAACTTTCTACCTCCACACTCTTACACCATTCCTCCGTCTGGCAAACCTTCACCATCTCTCTCAACTTATCCAAAGACAAGACGATTCGGATCCCTCCCCTTCCCAGACCTCCCCAACCCACAGCGATTACTCCCAACTCTCTGTTCTATGGTACTTAATATATGTACCACCCGTTTGGTCACCAAATGCATTTCTGCCTTCCAAAATCTCTTGTCTTACTGAATCACATCTTTTGTGCTATGTAGCTTTCTACACATTGAGGTCATGTTTTCATAAGAGGGCTATCGTCTGGGGGCAAGAATGACATTTTATATCTCGTACGTCTTTGTGTTTCCCCAGTGTTAGGCTGACTTTATTATACATGGCAGGCACTCAGTTGATGGAATTAAGTCCTCTGACTGGCCTGGCCTCCGAGGGACTGAACCTGGCCTCCCTCCGGGAAGTAAAGAAACACCTGCCAATACTCTTTCATCCTAACCAAGACTTTTTAAAAAACCAAAGCAGAGGCTAGGCGGCTCCTGTCCTGGGCTCGCCATTCAGGATCTGTCTGTACTTCAGCCTGGACATGCTCTGACTCCTCAACACCTGCTCTGTACCCCACTTTGAGCCTGATCCCCTAGATCTGACAGAGGCTTCCTTTCTTGTTTGGATCCTGAACGCCGATGTATGTGAGATGACTACACGTCTCTGCACAACCTTCTGCTCACAGACCGGTTTGGTTTGCTTACTCAGAATTTGCACTTGACCTGTTTCTTCCCACTGCTCTTTTTGTTCAAGCCAACCTCCCCGTAATTCTACAAAAACACAGAAAATCATTTTTCTCCACCAGTATTAAATATCTATGTGGCTCTGGATGATGTATACAATATAGAAATGACCAGGCCCTTAGCTTTTAGCAACTTTATCCACTGGCAAAGCAAATAAGCATTTTCTTTAGCCTGTGGTGTCTGGCTTGTCCCTCACTCCTCAGTCCGCAAGCACTTCAGCGGGGAGAGGGGAGGCGCCCGCAGGGCTGGCAGTGGAAGAAGGACGCTGCAGTTACTAAAGGAGATGTGGCTGTATTCTCACTGTTTCGAAAAGATTTGGGTGGAAAGGCCAGGGTGTAGAAGTGGAATTTTACAGACTGGAAGAAGATGGCTTGTGACTTATTGGGATGACAGCCAAGGGTCATAAAATTGTGGAAATCGTCACTGACTACTTCCGGAGACAGATGCCCAGGGCCCAGGGTGAGAGAAGAGACCTGCTTGGCTGGACAGGCCCTTCCCCACGCCAGTTGCCTTGAACTCTGCCGTGGCCTGGTGTGGCCACTGCTGCTCCTTGTATAAGGTCAACTGCTACCAATCCAAGAACCAGACGCAATTCTGATACAGCCTTATTTTTTTTCAGCTTGATTGAGATCTAATTGACATATGACACTGTAAGTTTGAGGCGTTACAGTGTGATGATTTGTGTGTACACACACACACACACACACAATTGTGAAATGATGACCACAATAAGGTTAGTGACCATGTCCATTACCTCACATAATTACCTTTTTTTTTGGTGAGAACATTTAAGATCTACTCTCTTAGCAACTTTCAAGTATTAGTACAGTGCTGTTCACTAGAGTCCCATGCTGTATATCAATCCCAGAACTTACTTCTCTAAGAACTGGAAGTTTGGTAACACAGTCTCATTATCATTATTCTGTAGCAGAGGCCCTTCTGGTCTGGGAAGCAAATTATTATTATTACCATTATTATTATTGTTAAATCTCTAAATTACCTTATAAGAAATAACACGCTGCTGGTGGTTGCGTAGCTTAATCCTAAAATAATCTTTTGGCAACAGCCAAACTTATTTCCAAACTTTGCTCCCTGGGAGTATTTTTCTGGACCCCCCCCCACCCCCCCACCCCCCATCAGTTTAGCTCTCGGTGAGTCAAGCCCACGCCTTTTACTTTCTGTCTCTCCAGATCCCAGTGGCTGGGGAGGAAGAAGCGAGCACCTTTCTCGTTTCCACTCCCATTTCTGATTGACCTCTGAACTCTCCA